TTAGGTTGCCTAGCCCGCTTAAGGTGATTTAATAGCCGAAATGTGAGCTTTCCCACAATTAGATGAATAGGCCTTATGATACCCTTCAGTCGGCCTAGCATTGAAAAAGTTTATCCCGTTTCGCGTGTACTACAGTTTTTTCTTTGACTAGGTCTTTTAAATTATGTTCTTATTCAAGAATTCCTGATTTCCTCGAAACGTACTCACATCAAAAATGTGAAAAGGAAGCAATGAGATGTTTTACTTATGTAAGCTTAACTATTATTCTAAATTTTTCATTAAATCATGCAATAATTTGATGTCTTATAGCATATGACAATCCATCTTTGTTCGATACTCTATTACTTTCCCGAATCAGGTGAAGAGAATGATGGGGATGAAGTCGAAGATAGGGAAGACGATAGTGACGAAGCTGATGATCCTGATAACGTTTATCCTGAGGAGGATACGAGTGAAACCGAACGTTTCGGACAGCTTTCTGGCAGATTCGGAAGGGAACTTACTAAAGTGAGTCTATAACAAGTAAAATATTTTTCCACAATGTAAACTGACGCAAGAATTTAAAAAAATGGAAGCATGTATGTAGTAGAGCCATTTAAGATCAAAGTTCATGCGACAAGGAGTCTTTACATTTTCGTTTTAGATATCCATTCCCACAAGTTATAAATGAGTTATTGTAGGAAAACGGTGCGGCAAATAATGTGACTAAAGTCTCGCCTGAGTAGATAATACAAACTATAGAAATAGGGATCATGAGGGGTCTAGTCCAAGAGGTTTGGTACATCGACTTGACGCAGTACTTCAAACTCGTATTGAAACAGAGACTCGAAAAATGAGAGTTTATTCCAGCCTTGTTTGGTGAAGGCACTTGAAGATCGAACCCATCAGAAGACAACAGAAGATTCCTCTTGATCAGCTGTCGATTGGTTGTATTTGAACTTTCTTGTTGATGCTGTTTCCAAGGCAATATCATTCGAATCTGATAAAACCTTACTAATGCCGGTTTGTTAACTCGGAGGATATCAAGCAATTGCAGGATCAGTACAAAGAAGATGACTAGATCAAGGAGAAATTTTGAACTTGGGGAAGCGAAATGACAAAGAAAGCACTGGGGGAACAATCAGAAATCATGAGGAGACTTTTACAGTCAGTCTAATAAAAGCAAGTATAACCACAAGATTTGGGGTTGGCATACAAGAGTTTAGGGCATAGGAAGTCGTAGATTTGGTATTAAGGATAGAATAGCGTGAGGTGCGTAGGAGATCATTGATAGTTGTCTATTATTGGATGAGTTTGACCATAGACGTGATCTGTAAAGTAAAAGCTTGACGACGAGATATATTCGGCGCATATGCTAAACAGTGATTAGGTGATATTCAGCGTCAAGTTATGTTTCCATGCTACTTGAAGCTCCAACCTTTTGGAACTCGTTTATTG